TGAAAACTCATCGGAGGGTCAGTTGTGGATCAGTTTCATTCCACAGTTATGCGTGAGTTAGTGCAAGAAAGAAGCCCTAGAAATGTAGTCAGAGGTTCAAGTCCACTAGCTGTTAACGAAGAAGAAAGACAAGCGGTCTCTTCTGGGAAAGCCTTAGAAAATCTGATAGAGGGTCACCCATGAACTGGAATCAACTTGATAGGAGAGGGTTTAATGCAAGAACACTTTAACTGTCAACAGGAGATTCAAATCAACCCAATGGCAGTAGGTGGGCTTAATACTAGAAAAGACTAAACTATTTATAACGGCACACGCAGCACATGAAAGTGATTGTTATGAAGTATTTGTTTATGAAGAAGTAGGAATTTTTTTCCCAATTGTTTCAAAGTGATGGCAAATTTATATAACATTAAGTGGCAAGTATGAATTGTCTGTAAATCAGACTGCCTGTGTTTCCTAAGACTGAATGGAAATTTTGATCCACTTAGAATGATAATATTCAATATGCAGTTAGAAATCTTTGTTCAAAAGGTACGTTCAACCATTACTAACAGTCTTTTACGAAATTTTTTCAAATTGTAATTGAAGTTTCTCCAGACTACTAAACCCAAATGACAGTGTCTCTATTAGACAAAGCAGAACACAAATTTCAGTAAAATCCAAGAAATTCATGAAACAGAAAAATAAAATCTCCTAAAACAACTACTGGGATCAAAATTGACCAGAGTATTAAATTCAAACCAAACCAAACCCACTGCCCCCAGCTAAATTCTAACTCACAGCAACTCTTATAGGAAAGGGGAGAACTTTCCCATAGTGTTTCCAAGACTTCAAATTTTTTTGGAAGGAAACTGCCACACTTTTATCCTAAGGGGTTGCTTGTGGGTTTGAACCACTGAACTTTTGGTTGGCAGCCTTTCACTTTAACCACTGTGCCAACAGGACTCCTTTCAAGCTTCACACTGTCTTTTATTTCCATTTTTACTATGCTATTTCTAACTCTCCAAATATACAGAGCCTCTTATGAGCACTGGTCTACCAGCTTACTCTCTCCCCAATGACCGCTTCTGTTCCCTGTAATTTCCAGTTCAAAAAGTCTTCAGACTGCCCAATGACTGTCTACAACAGTGACTGACCACATACTTCTGCCAGAACATACCCAGTAGATGAGGTAGGTATGCAAAGCTCACACATCTCCAGGGATATTCACCAAATAAGTTCAATGTTTAAGCAACAGCTATTAATTCTGCCTCATTCCTCCCACTGAAAAAGACATTTGAAAGTAAATGACTGAGAGTGATGCTACTATTGAGGAAATGTTGAAAATATACACAAAGAACAAACACTCCCACACACTTCGCAAGCAGAAGTTATTACCAACAGTACCAGGGGCCAAACCATAGCCATGATTTTAAACGAGAAAAAGATGTACAGCTTCACTTACCCCCTTTGTGTCTTTTCCCCCATAATGTCTCTCAGAAAAGTTGCTCATTTCTAATACTCCTACTATTTTTTCACTGGGTTGACCCTGAGGCCAAAGGCCCACATTTGCAAATGCCTGTCAAACATTTATGCTCATATATTATAAGAAAACTTCAAACACAAACCAGCTTCTCTGATTTCTCCTGATTACCTTATTTCTTTTAATAGCAATATTATGTTACAGAAAACTAAACTTGAAGTTAATAGCCCCTTTTGGTTCCTCATACTCATTCACTGTCACACCTAAATAAAGCTGTAGAATAAGTTAAACTCTGTAGACACTTTCACAATACCTCCTCTTTCCCATTTTCATTATGATACTTTCACATAGAATTCCATTTAAAAAAATACTATTAATTTCTACGTGTTCTGTTGTACGTAGGGTTTTCAGAGGCCTGCTATTTTGGAAGTGGATGGCCAATCCGTCTTCCTAGTGTGTCTTAATCTGAACGTTCAGATTTAGAGAAGTATCCAACATATAAGCATTTTACAGAAAAAGTGAAAATATATCCCTTATTGTGGAATTAACCATTAGTTTCCATATTGTCCCTGCCATTGGCACAAGCGTCCTGACCTATTTATTTCTTTGCTCCACCCTCCATCAAGATATCCCTCCACTTCTAACCACTCCCTTCAATATCTATCTCCCATCGTCTAGCCCTTGATCTGATGATAGCTTATATCTAAAGCTTCCTTGGTTTCTGTGATTCCAGATTCATCAGCTGCTAACAGTTTCTTATGCTGTGACCAGGATCTCCTAAGTTTAGTGGTAACGTGTTCCGTGTTCCCAACGGAGATGATGGGTCCTGTGGAACTGGTGTGTAGATAGTTTCTTCTTGGCCTGAGGGCCTGACCGAGTTTCATGCAACCTTGGGGGTCCTCCGCTGTTACCTGTATGGGTGGGGGTTTTTAGCTCTGCTGAGGTGTCTTGTCTTTTCGCCTGCCTTCTGCCCTTTCTAAGCATGCCGCGACCCCTACGTACAACAGAACACACGTAGAATGACAGAAAGGGCAACTGTGTATGGAAATACAAAGGAAGAGGAACAATTATAAGCAGATATTAGTGATTAGAGCATGGAATGTGAGAACCATGAATGTAGGAAAATTAGATATTTTTAAGGAAATGGAACGCATAAATCTTGACATAATAGGCATTGGTGAGATGAGATGGACCGGCATGGGGCAATTTGAATCAGATGATCATATGATATACTACTCTGGAGATGAAAAGGTGAGGAAAAATGGGGTTGCTTTCATAGTTAGAAATGCCATTTCTAGATCCATCTTGAAGTACAATATTGTGAGTGACAGGATAATATCCATACACATACAAGGAAGTCCAGTGAATACCACTATCATTCAGATATATGCACCAACAACCAGAGCCAAAAAAGAGGAAATAGAAGATTTCTACCAACTTATACAGTTGGAGATCGATCGAACATGCAATCAAGATTCAGTGATAATAATGGGTGACTGGAATGCAAAAGTTCAGAAAAGAGAAGAAGAATCAATAGTCGGAAAACATGGACTCAGAGACAGAAATGGAGCTGGAGATAGAATGATTGAATTTTGCACAATGACTTATTCATCACAAACACATTTTTAAGAGACATAAACGCAGTTTATACACATGGATAGCACCTGATGGTATGCATAGGAATCAGATCTATTACATTTGTGGAAGGAACTGCTGGAGAAGTTCAATATCAGCTGTGAAAACTAGGCCCGGAGTTGATTGTGGAACAGACCACCAACTACTCATATGCAAGTTCAAGCTGAAGCTAAGGAAAATGAAACCAAATACACAGGAACCAAAATATAACTTTGAGTCTATCCCACCTGAATTTCAGAACCATCTCAAGAACAGGTTTGAGGCCTTCAAGGGTATCATCCAAGAACAGTGCAAACGTTCATTACAAAGACAGAAGAGGAAGAAAAGACCTAAACGGATGACAGAAAAAACTCTGAATATTGCACTGGAGCACAGAGGAGGCAAAGCACAAGGAAGAATTCAAGATACTAAAGAGCTGAACAGAAGATTTCAAAAGGCAGCATGGGATGACAAAGTAAAATATTACAGTGAAATGTGCAAGGAGCTGGAGTCAGAAAACCAAAAG